AGCTGGATGAAGATGAACTGGAGGACCTGAGCGAGGATGAAGAGATCGACGCTTCCGCACCCGCAGATTTCGAAGCCAACTTTAGGGAGAGGCAAAACGGCAATGCTCGCCAGACCGAAGGTGACCTTGAATTCGCTGATAGCGACTCTGATCTCGGCTCTATCTCATCTGTGGAGGACCAGATTTTGGAGAGTGACGAGGACGAGGACTCTGACGATGAGGAGAATGCCCGCTGGAAAGAGAACATGCTTGCTAATGCGAAGTCCCTTCATTCGAAGCGCCCGAAGTTCCGCATCACTGACTTGTCTCGGATGCTGTACGACGACTCCATCGCACCCGAGGACGTGATGCCTCGATGGAGCGGTCGTGGTGAGAACGAAGACGAGGACGAGGATGAGGACAAGCAGGACAATGATGAGGAAGAGGACACCTTCTTCAAGAAGACCGGCGCCGAGCAGAAGGAAGAGGAGGAGTTCCGTCACATTCCTGAGTTTGACTACGCCAAGCTGGAAGAGAAGTGGCAGGATGAAGAGCTTATCGAATCCCTAAGAAGCAGATTCGTCACGGCCAAGTTATCTGGTGACGGCGACGACGATGATTCGGATGTGGGCGATGCATTTGACTCGGACGACGAAGGAGATGGTGAATTCGAGGACCTAGAAACGGGCGAAGCTTTTAACGGTCTCTCTGACGACGAAGAGGGTGGCGAGGAGGAGGGTGAGAAAGAGGAGGGGCCCGTCGACCTGGACGCGGAGCGTGAGCGCAATGCGAAGAAGAAAGAAGAGCTACGACTTCGCTTCGAGGAAGAAGATCGCGAGGGGTTCGCAAACTCCAAGGATAACTCGCGCAAGGATGGTGGAGGGGACGAGGAGTTTGGGGAGGACGACTGGTACGACATGCAGAAGGCTAAGCTACAGAAGCAACTCGACATCAACCGCGCCGAGTTTGACCTACTCGACCCGGCCTCCCGCGCTCGAGCGGAAGGTTTCAAGGCCGGCACATATGCACGTATCGTTCTCGAGAAGGTGCCCTGCGAGTTCGCCACGAAGTTCAACCCTCGTTACCCCGTCATTGTGGGTGGCCTGGCACCCACCGAGGACCGCTTCGGCTATGTCCAGATCCGCATCAAGCGCCACCGCTGGCATAAGAAGATCCTCAAGAGCGGCGATCCCCTCATCTTTTCTCTCGGCTGGCGCCGCTTCCAGTCCCTGCCGATCTACAGCACCTCCGACAGTCGGACGCGCAACCGTATGCTCAAGTACACCCCGGAACACATGCACTGCTTCGCTACCTTCTACGGCCCGCTGGTGGCGCCCAACACCGGTTTCTGCTGCTTGCAATCCTTCTCCAACAAGGCCCCTGGGTTCCGCATCGCCGCCACCGGTGTGGTGCTGAACGTCGACGAACACACCGAGATCGTGAAGAAGCTCAAGCTGACGGGTGTTCCCTACAAGATCTTCAAGAACACCGCCTTCATCAAGGACATGTTCAACTCCTCGCTGGAGATTGCCAAGTTCGAGGGCGCCTCGATCCGCACCGTCTCCGGCATCCGCGGTCAGATCAAGCGCGCGCTGGCCAAGCCCGAGGGTTACTTCCGTGCCACCTTCGAGGACAAGATTCTCATGAGTGACATCGTCTTCCTGCGGGCCTGGTACCCGATCAAGCCCCACCGCTTCTACAACCCGGTCACCAACCTGCTGGATCTGGCCGAGGAGGGCGCGGCGGACAGCGGCTGGCACGGCATGCGTCTCACCGGCGAGGTCCGCCGCGAGAAGGGCATCCCCACCCCGCTCGAGAAGGACTCGGCGTACCGCAAGATCGAGCGCCCCGAGCGCCACTTCAACCCGCTGCGTGTGCCGCGCCAGCTGGCCACGGACCTGCCCTTCAAGTCGCAGATCACCAAGATGAAGCACCACAAGGACAAGACCTACATGCAGAAGCGGGCGGTGGTCCTCGGGGGCGAGGAGAAGAAGGCGCGCGACCTCATGCAGAAGCTCAACACCATGCGCAACGAGAAGCAGGCCAAGCGCGCGGCGAAGCAGGAGGAGCGCCGCAAGGTGTACCGCGCCAAGGTGGCCGAGGGTCTGGAGAAGAAGGCGGAGCGTGAGAAGCGAGAGCGCGATGACTACTGGCGTCGCGAAGGTAAGAAGCGGAAGGCCCAAGACGGAGAAGGGGGTGGTGGTGGCAAGAAGCGCAGGTAGAGCCCCTAGTTGCTTTTTTTTTCAGGGTCAGGTTATTTACAGGTTTTATATCAAAAGTTGCTTCTGTGAATAATGTCCATGTGTATCTATGTGCATGCTGCATGGGATGGATGGCGTTGAGTTTTGTTGCTTGGACCCTATTTCTCCTCTGACATGGTTGAACATATACTCACTACTACATGTTCTTGGGATTTATGCTTGCTCTATACCAGGAAGAAATAGATTGACTTGGTGTCATTTTGGATCAAGACGCTTTTTGTTGGTGGTGGTGTTGTGGTGTTGTAGATCCTCCGGCTTTGCTGCTTTTGGTGCCTGACCTTTGAGGCATCCAGACTTACAGTTATCGCCACGTGACTGCGCTGTGGACGCGTCGCCCTCCGACTCGATCGTCGCCTGGCGTCTGCGAGTCGGGAGTCCCTGTGTTTTCCCCCCATGGACAAGCTTGATAGATTGTTGACCTATTTGTCAATTGATCTAATCAGCAAGCCGCGATCACTCTCTTATGGCCTTTCTCGACCTTCTACCCCTCGAGTCGTCCTCCTTCGGCCGTTCGACCTGGTGTTCGGATTGAGGCTCGCGTGAGAGACGTGTGAGAGAGACTTTGCTGCATCTGGCCGCATCGCCTGCCACCCTGCTGCGACCGTCCGAAGATTCCACAACATCGGCCTCCTTGCAGGACAGCCACGAACCCAGTACACATCCCGCCCCGAGTGAGGACTTAGGACCGTGTTGAACTCGAGTACACTGAGTGTGTCAGTCAGAGTGGATTGATTGACTGGGTCGGGCTGCGGGACATTCCCGCGCCAAAGATATCCGCGACGCTGGTAACCGGGAATCAGCGGCGAATAAGACACATCAGTTCATGCGGACTTTCTGCGACTTCAGCGATTTCCAAGTCTGATTGCCCTCTTTCTGCGGATGTGGAGGGGGTAACATTCATCATACCTGCCCTGCTTCCCCCGTAGAAAAACATCGTCTGCTCCCAAGACATTACCGGACAAAGAAGACAACCTGCATTATTGCAGTCAGTCAGCCGGTCAGTCAGTCCTCTTATCGTGGCTCTGCCCGCCTTTCTATAGTCCGGGCCCAACATGAGTAGCGGAGCGCCGCGCTTGGATACGCGCCACCACGTGCACTCCGCGCAGTCTTCTTCATCGCGACAGATTGACTCTCGGCATGATGCAAGGGGTGGCAGACACGACGGTGGTTTGAGTTTCAGTAAGACTGCCAATGACCCCGAATCGCAAGGAGATTCTGCGCGGGGGTCTTCGTCGTCGACGGATCCATCCTCGCTGGTGGGCCCACCCACAGCCCACTTGACACCGACACCTGAATTCCCGTTGTATGACGATGTTAGACACGGTTCCTCGTTCTCCTCGTCACATGTGTCGGATTCGCGGGGAACTTCATCAGCTGTGTCGCAGCCGTCGAAGGTATCCAATTCGGTCCGGTCCGTGTCGGGAGGCAGACAGCTGAGCATCGAGGAAGCGATCGCGGGGCAGCAGGCCACGCCCCGACCATTCTCGGTATCGCGCAGTCCTTCTGGAAAGGGGTTGCCGGGGAAGCAGCGTGCGACCGGGTTTGCTGCGTCTCCGCAGGAGACGTCGAAGACGGGGGAAAGAGGGATGGAGAGGCTCCGGTCGAGCAGTATCGGGTCGCTCTCCCGCGAAAGCCGAATCGCAGCGGTAACTTGTTCCTTCTACTTCTGGTGGGGTGCTGTGGGTTGCTGATATGAGTTCAGTTGTCAGTGCACCTGCGCACTCGCCTTTCGTACGCGGCGGCCAAGATTGAGAAGAGCCGACAGATGCAGAAGGCCCAGGACCTCCCGCCGACGGCGCGCATTGACTCGCTGGTGCGATCGGGGCAGCTCGCCTATCTCGACCATCTTGACCAGGTCGATGCACAACACCCAGAGGGATTGGGCTCGCCTGCCAGTACGACGATGTCGTCGCCGGACATGTATGGCACGGCTGGGTTCAACCGGCCCGTTGGGTCGGCGCGGCTCTCCCCAGCGGCTTGGTCGGAGGCTGCTGCATCTCCTCATGCGGGATTCTCGAGGAATCATCATAACTACCATCATCACAATCACCATTCTCATTCTCATATAGACCACTCCAGTCGTCCAAAACTCGCCCCGCCTGTAGATATCATCTCGAAGGGAGGAAGTCACGGCAACCGACGTCGACGTCCGAATCCAAACGAGTTCATCAGCCCGCCCACCTTCACTCATCGCAGACATCATTCCCACCAGGACGTGGGCCTGTTCCAGTCCAGCGCAAACTCAGACACCATCCTAGTACCAGGGACGCCTCCGCTCCAACCGTCCGGCGCTATGTCCTCCGCGCGCCATGGTGGCGTGGCGGGTGAGCAGCACGACCGCGCCCGGAGCAGCGCAATGGAGCAGGACGCGATCGAGACGCTGCTGTTCATGTCCAGCCCCGGCCACTCGGGGTATCACTCGACCCACTCGCAGCATTACCGGCGGCCTCATCAGCACCAGAACGTTCCGCGGAGCAGCAACGGGTCGCAGGAGTCGAGTCTGCGCGTACCGTGGAGCCGGCCTGATAGCAGCCATGGTCATGTTCAGCCACGCGCCAGGTCGGCCGAGGAAGTCACGGGGCTAGAAGCCCAGGCGGGCGACGAGATTGACCGGATGCTGGACCAGATGGACAGCGACAGCGAGGATGATGCATCCCGAATAGCCCGATCCAGACGGTAGTAAGCTTTTTTCTTCTGCATGGGAATATTTGGCTGAGCCTCGGAAAGTATGGATAGACGCGGGCAGTCTTTTGTACAAACCTAGAGCGTTGATTTCGAGCTACAATAGTCCTGACTTAGAGCATCTGGTTAGACGTGACTTTACTTCGGTTTCAGTTGACCACAACGATATCAAGTTCATCACACCACCAACCTGAACTAGCTACTATACAATCCTTCCATCCCCCAATATCCAACCTCCTTCTCCCCCAACAACCCACACCTCTACATCCAAGAATGCCCAAGTAACCGAATAAACTAAGAAAAATCCAACATCCCACAAACCTGCCCCGCCCCCTCCACCGCCCCAACCCACCCCAACCGCCTCCCCGTAAACAACTCCGCCTCGGGCCTCCTCTCCAACACCCCAGCATCATCCAGCACCCCCGCCCTCACAACCGTCACCTCCGCCGGCCGCCCATCAGCATGGATCCTGTGTCCATACAGCGGCGAACCTAAAGTACCGCATCGTCACATAGAATCCATCAGCATTTCTCCTCTGCCCACCTCCTAAGTTACCCCTACGGCTTCCATAAACCCAACCATCATCCCCCCCAAGCATTCCCCTAAACCAACACCACCCATACCCAAACACAAGAAGATACCCAAAAGGAAAGGGTGGGGAAGAAACGAACCGCAATCCCCACAGAAATAATTCCGCACCGCATTCCCACTGTCGGCCGTCTTGGCCACGGCCTTGGGCGTGCCGGCGACCACGCGGAAGGCACCGGTGGGCACGAGGACGCTGTGCGAGTAGGCGGAGCCCGTGAGTTTGCGGCAGTCGTGGCAGTGGCAGAGGCCCTGTTAGTGGTCATATCCCATTGCTTGTGTTAGGGTTGGGTTGGGATGGGTTTGCTGTAAGGGTAATGGTAAGGGTAAGGGCAGGACAGGACAGGTAAAACTTGCCGTGGTGAGGGGCGGGCTGGTGCATTCGATGCGGATGGCGGTGCAGAAGCAGCTGCCTTTTGTTGTCATTTTGGTCCGGTGGTGTAGGGCTTGTTTTTGGGTGGGGG